ATTCCAATGTACATGGGATTAGTGGGGATGCCAGAGACAACGTCCTTCTGCATATAAAAACCGGCACTATTTCACTTTCCGTGTTATTTTCCAACTGATTTTCTATTATTGGGCCCCTTGAAAGGGACCTAGCATCTCCAGTTTAGGCCCCCCAAGTAAGGACATGGTAACCCAACCTGCAGGTCGTGGACCCGCTTCGAGAGGATGGCGACTCGTGAATTTGACTCCTGCCAACAACCAGGACAGATTTTGGGCATTGGTGGCCCTCACCAAAAAAAAGTCTTATGGCTTATATAAGGTTATATAGGGATTGTGGTCCACAATCATGAACTTTTACCAGGGATACCCTACTGAATTTCAGGCACCCAAAAGCTGGCGTGGCTGCCACAGCTAGCCCAAGCCCTCTTCAAGGGCAACAATTGCATGGAGCACTTTGGGCCTTTGGTGCCTTTACATGTTGCTATGCTGTACACCTCCATGTCACGATCAAGCTGTGTGCTGTTTGGTAGTGCATGACATTCTTCCCGACAGCGCGTCACAGAGCCTCATCAGCCTTTCAAATTGACATCAACTAGTAATCTTGCAATGGCACAGGGTGAAGGGATGATCTGCTAATATGTTCATGACGCACAAGCCCATGTTCTAGGGTAGACTTGGACAGTGCGTCCTAGTGGTCAAAATACCTGAAAGTAGGTACTATTCATAGAGAATTTAGGGCCCAAAGTAGCTACTAAGCTACTATGTATACACTTGGATCCCAAGCACAGGCTTTAAAGACTATATGCAGGGCCACGCCTTGAGCTGACTGTTCATGCTGGCCATATCCTTGCGGGCCTGGCTTCGGAAGGCTCAGGCTGCGAGCAAACGTTACCCTGACACTACTTATGGTTTGGAGAGCCTACTTTTAAAAGGGATACAGTCCAGTAAAAATGGGCTTGTAGACGGGACATAGCAAAGTACGATATACCCAACTCCACGGTCCCTCAAAGTAGAACCCTCAACTTGTTCGGAGCCAGCAATGCCTGGTCCAGGTCTTTGCGGACCAGATACGACGCCGCCTCGGAGCTCTGCTCATGGGCTGATAGGCCGGGGTCCAGACATTAGGGCTCGCGGGTCTAGAGTCAAACGTGAATCTGTGATTGCACTCATCATTTAACGATAAAGGCTAGTGTTAGATTCATAGCTTGCAACTGGTCCGTCTAGTCAAGGCGATCGAAACCACCACCCAAAAGCACATGACATTGTCCTCGTGATGCAATCTCCCTCCCGCAGAGACTCGACATGCATCCTGTTGTTGGAGAACCATGGCCCAGAAGAGCTGATTAAACTTGTCAACCATGAGCCCTGGGAGCTCCCCCTGTGATGAAGGCAGTCTCTTAAGCTGAAAAGAAATGGCCTGGACGCTGGAAAGCTCGGCATTGGTCTCTCGCAGCTCCTGTCCATGCTTGATTGAACAAATCAGCTTCTCCCACTATGTCGTGATGCACAGGGACCAGCTAGTCGACCCTCACAGGGCTTGATATCGAAACTCTTCTGGATACCGCCGTATTCTGTATGCCTGATTTGATGTGCAAGCTGTGGCCAGCTGCAAAATTCCCCATGCAAGGTTCTGCTGATTTGCCTTTCTGAAAGTTGCAGTTACACTGATGATTGGGCCTTTTAAGACAAATCCGTTCAGTGCTTAGGTAGGTGCAAATATTACAACCTGGGGCCTGCGCATTGAGGATGGCTACACCAACAAACTTCCCCGCCCTACTTCAAACCCGGAGATGGAAGAATCTGGCGGCTCTGGCGCACCTCGAAGCGGATGCTGTTGCTTTGACGGAGGCCTTCCTCGAGTTGCAGAGTCTGAGCTTGCAACGGCATGGTCCTCCCAGCATGAACCATAGTCTACACTCCTGGTATCCCCCTTAATATCCACTGTAGTAGTCCCCGATTTAATCCACTATATAGGCCCCTGTCAGGAGTTTAGACTACAGTGGACATAGACTCATGGATGTCAGTGCCAGCAGCTCAGAATCTGGCAGCATGACTGTGCTCGGCATGGCCTACATAATGTGCCTTACACCTTTTTGTCCTTGCAGATTCGCCTAAGTATGTCAAATCTTCAAATCCAACCTGAGTAGCCCTGACATGCCGAACATGATAGGCCACAAGGCACCCCGAACCTCAATGCAGAAGGGGACGTGCAAAAGGTCTTCAATCCTACAAATGCAAGGTTGCATACCATCCACAAGCCAACTGAACTGAAACTGATGCTTATAGCATCCAGGCAATTCAAACTTCCCACAGGAAAGTGTTAGTTTTAGCGGCATGTTGATTGCAGCCCACAACCCTTCTAGGGGAATAGACGCCTGTACCAAGGACAAGTCCATGGAGCACAAAATAGACTGGGATGCATTTAGGGGTCCTGTAAGCTGTAATTCTTATGGCTTTGTAGGGAATACATGGGGATTATGATCCATAATGAGAAACAACACGCTCACAAATATCCTAGTAGAACTGCTGGAACCACGGTCTAACCGGTAAACCCTGTCAGCAGAAATCAAGTCGATCAGGGCCAACGCCAAGCAGAAACCGCTTCCAGCATTCCTATGTGCTTGCCAAATTGCAGAGTCAAAGCAAGAACACTTACTCCGAATACCCCAGCCTTCGAGACCAACACAGCAGGCAGCATCAAGCAAAGGCGGAAGCCTTAAAACCCCAGATTTGACTAGGGATCCCACGACCTTCTGACGCAGCTCATTTCGCTGGGCAACGACCATCCTGACTCGACAATCAAAAGCCTACCTAAACCCGGCAGACAATGTTGAGGCTCAGATGGTTGCAGTGCTCGCATTGCTTATGAGATCGATGACCGCTGGGCTCCAAATATCCCTTTACACGCGTGCGTGGGCTGCCAGGGTCGAGGCTCGTAGGTCTCGTTCTCCCTCTGCGCAACCTGCCGTTCCTGCAGAGATTGAGCTTGAACCTGCTGAACCTGCTCACAGTACCTTTTGGCATTAAGGTTGTAGATTGCTTCACACAGAAGCAAGTCATGCCCCCAACGACTTGGCGGAACCTTCCATCGGCAGAAGGCAGGACTCTTTTCTCCCGACAGCGCACGCGACTGCTGCGATGCCTACATCCATAGGCTATACACTTGCACTCCGTCTTACATACTGAAGTCGCATGCATATAGGTTGGCATCATGTCATGCTGCCAGATGTCATTGCTAAGTCGAAGAGGCTTCTACATATTGGGTAGTCATGATTTATTACGTGTTGGAAGCTTGATTTGTGGAAGAGTTCCCGGCTCTAGCGGGCGGGTTTTCAAGTAGCTGTTCTCTGGCTGGAGAGCTCCGGCAATCGGTGAGTTTCATTCTCAATCAAAGTGTTCCGTGAAACATGCCGTACACCCTTTTTTCTTGGCGTTTCGGAGCCAGTTGTTGCAACAAATTTAGAAGATTTCTCGACACCTCACCTTTAGGCTGCCAGGTTTGCAAATTTGGAGCCTCACGCATCGAGACGGCATTAGAACTCTCTTAAGCTCCCAGAGATCTCCAGCCGCCCTTTTTGGCAACGGCAAGGTGAACTCAAAATCCAAGCTCTGGAGTCCAAACTTTTCGGACACTCTACTGGGATAAATGTCAGGGTCTCATACAAAAAATCTCATAGCTTTATACAGGGAACATATATAGGGCTTCTGGTCCATAATAATCAAAATATAATGCCCTGGAATATCCCAGTCTAGCCTTACCGACGCTGACTTCCACTTATCTCGCTCCACCCTGCAGACGCTGGCCTTCTGGGCCCCTGTGAGACATCCCTCGCGTCTAGCATCGCTTCCACCGCCTTACTGCTGCTGCATGGACTAGTGGCTCGTCGCATTTGGTTAGATGGCAGCTACAGCTCTTATCCAGACGGCGACAGCAGCGGCGGCAAAACAAGCAGAACTCTGAAAGAACCGGGTCTACATCTGATCTCCATCAGCGCGGATCGATGCCACGGCTGTAGTTGTACCTTGCCAATGGTTGTTACATGCAATTTGAGCGGATAGCTGCCTGGCCTGAAGGCCCGGCATTTGTGGCGGAGAACGTTTTACGTCTTTCGATCTAGTAGAGTAAGTAACAATGCATCTATTCGTCAGGCTAGTCAGCAGTTGCTTCAATTCCGAGGCAAAATGGTCTGCGTCTAGTACTTGGACGTGCAGAGCTGCCTACACTTTTCGTTGAGACTCTGCTGTACAAAGCCGGAGTGCCCCGTATCAATACCATCAAATAGACCACCGCCTTGGTCACCCTTGACATTTGACAGGGATTCTCGAAGACTTGCCTGGCTTCATCAAACTGTGGTATGCAGAAATCTCATGTTCTAGAGGGACTGCCTGCGCACAGGCCACATTTCAAGAACTCGCAAAAACAATCTCCAACCCAACCGCGACCCCCTGCTCCAACGCAGTCCAAGCCCAGAAATACAAAACAAGAAAAAAACTTACCTTTGGTTAGCTATGAATGAAGGAATGGATCATTATCGTAATCCCTATATAACTCATTATAGTAGTGTCCATGTTCTTTTCCGTTCCTTCATTCCCAGCTGACCAAAGGTAAGAAAAAATAACGTCCGCAGCAGATTCACAGCGCAGCCCCTGGTTGCCATTCTGGACCCTGCAGGTTTAGGGTGTGGGGTTTGGGGTTTAAGGGGGGTTAGGGTAATAGAAAATAAAGTGGAAGCTACTGTAGGGTTTAGGGTTTAGGGTTTGCGGAGCGGCATCGGATGCTAGATAAACTGAAACCAGGGTAGTTTCCATAAATCTGTAAATCCAATACAGCCAGTTTCTCTTGTATTTTCCATGTTGTCCTCCATTATTGGGGTCATAATCTCGATATATCACTTATCACTCTATAACCCCTATGTAACCCTACGGAGCCCTACTTCCAGGAAACCCCCTCAACCGTAAAGCCATACCGCCAGGCTAGGTCAGCTTGGTTTGCCTGGGCTTGACATCACAAAAATGCCGATTCAGGGGCCCTCTAAAAACATGAGGGTATATAGGAACCATGGGGTAGGCTTGGGGGCCCTGAAAAGATTTTTTAATGGTTTGAAAGACAGTACATAGTGATTAAGCGTAACAAAGAACTTGAAAGATGGGTTCAAACCTACCCCCTGCGTTGTCGAAAAAGTCTTCTGATAGTCTGGATTTGGGATTTTGTTGCTGGGGAGATTGTCCGGGTTTAGGGAGGGTCTACAGTTGTCATGAAGATGCCACACAGAGACTGGTAACATCAAATTCCCACAGCCCCAAACCCTAGAGCCTTCATGTGCAAAGCTGGCCTTTCGCTCGTGCACTGGCGTTGCGTTTGTGGTAGGCCAATTGTAGGGAGAAGTGATCGATCTTCCCTGCAGGCGGCTTTAGATACTGACCGGAGTACGAATTGTCATAATAATAGCATTATAATGATACTACTCCTATTCAGAATAATACAACAATCAGGATAGCAATAATCATGAAGATAATAGTAGCGACCATAGGGTTGTATGATAGGAACTATTCTAGTTTGTGTAATAAATATGGATTGTAATGTAATAGGAATGGAGAATATGACAAACATGAAATGGAAACTGACTTTTTCTATGACTGCAAGCTGAGCCACAAATCTTTACCGGCTACGATTTTTGAACGACAGCTGCGGCACCTTGAATCCTCGCCCAACTACTTATATGCAGCCTGCGGAACCACCTTGCTTCAAGCAGGCCTGTAGCCTGCCGCCGATGAAGACTGTCGGTTGAATGGCGGGATCGTGAGCGAAGCTCTTGATGGTTGGGCCCCATTCCTGAAAAGGATGGCTTTGCTGTAGGAATGTAGGACTGTTAGGTTCGTACCCTGGGGGAAATGTCGTTGTGACAACCATCATCATAATCGTCATCAAGATTGTCATCACTTGTCATCATTATCATAATCGACGGACCTACTTACAAAGAGAAAAACCAGGGAAGATCGACACAACGAAAGAGCCTTGCCTGCGGCATCGGCGGTGCATCAAGCTGGACCTTCTCACCGGGGGTGGCAAGCCTCTGCAGCATGAAGTTAGTCTGCCACAGCATGTTTAACCCCTCAGAGCCATGACTGGAGATCTCGCACAAACAGCTCGAAGGTCGAACTTGCGCTTCTAGCCAAAAGTCACAGGCTCAGGATTACTGTGGGCACTTGCCCGCTGGTAATTGACACTATTGTACACCCGACAGTCAACCCTTGAAGCCACTACCCCACATCGCCGCGATACCAACCGGACATGAAAAAGCTGTCCATGCTGTGCAAGCCCTATGCCCTATGCCTCCAGGACATGGCTTAGAAGGCGGAGGCTACTTGCCTGGCTTTTGCTACGTCAGCCTGCACGGGAGTCCACCTTCCTGTGAGCCAAAGCCACCGCACAGCGCCAAGATACAAAGGAACTTGCCAACCGACAGGAAACGCCTGTTTAACTCTACCTGAACTGATCCTCCCTGCCTGCTTCACACACAAATGGCCCATGCCTGCATCCTTCCTCGACATGTCCAGGTCTGCCATGCAGCAACAAGTCACACCATGTCACATTGACTGCCCCCTTGTGCAAGCATCAAGCAAAAGTGTCAGGCAACCCAAGCCGTAAACGGTGGACCAACTCCTCAGAGTCAAAACGATCGCTAGAAGCCTGGCCTTCTGAAGCTCTTGCTTCAGATTCGAAACCTCAACAGCTCAAGAGCTCGGCGGATTTGGGATGTTCTAGGGTAGGTTTGGGGTTATAAAAAATCAATGTGGGGAACATATAGGTATAAGGGTCCATAATTCATCACACTTAAACAAAAGCATTGTTCCCGGGAATACCCCAGTCTTGTGTTCGTTTGGCATTTGGGGAAAGGTGAGAGGACCTAGTAGCGGATAAGCTCCGGCAAGACCACACGGGACTTGGCCTAAGTTACTGCTCCCAAAATGTGAGACATGTAAATAAAGAACGAATAAAGAGAGAGAGAGAGAGAGAGACCCGTAACCCTAATAAAAGGACCCGATCTATGTTGTTTTCAAACCAGTCCCCACATACAGGCATACACAGCTGCTGAAAATCCAACTAGAAAGGTTGTTACTGATAATTAGACAGATGGACGGGCCCTCAAAGCACTTGACTCTTCTGGTTCATATAAGTTTAGATGGAGAAGATGATCCATAGTGACAACAAATCCCAGGAATACTCTGGTACAAGCTGCGACGAGGCCTGCTTTTTCGCTTCCTCCAAGCGGCGCGTCAGTGCTTCCTCAGCACATGTCACAGTGCTGAAGCTCCAAGGTCCAAACAGTCTCTTTCGCTCAAGGCTCTACATGACCCTATACAAACCCCTACATAGCTCCTATATCCCCTGAATAGTTCAACCATACATTACCTTTCTACCAAGTGAATCGAAGGCTGGAGGAGCTGGGGACTCCAGGCTTTCTGCATGTCTGCGGGGTCAGCTCTTTGGTTTCCTGGACAACTTCTCAAAAGACACCCCGCCAAGCTCCAGTAAAAATTTCGAGTGACTCGTAAGAATAAGCTCAGCTACACCATGAACTCGGACCCCTGGACATGTTTTAATCTGGGGACCTAATCTAGACTCCAATATAGTGCAATCTTTATTATAGGGATCCCTAGAATTTGGAAACCCCCCTTGAAGCTTCAACAAACTTCCAGGGCGGTTGCAACTTCGCTGTCTGCCTCGGCCGCCCTGTCAACACACTTTGGGCGGCTTCTTGGGGCAAGTCATGTTTTATGTCCTCTCTTTTCAAGGGCTCCTTGGTCACTAGATCTGCTCTCTTTTAATTATTCGCATCCGTGGCCGCTCATTCTGTTGTTGGACAAGACTTCCGCGCGGTACGCACATCTAGCCTAATTAAGCCCACCTGACAGCCTAACAGCCAGATGACTTCGACACCGATCAATCTCCAAAACTGGGTACATCTACCTTCACATGTGGTAGCACATGCTTTCAAAGGTCTTTTTGCAAATGAAGGATATGATATAGAAGCATCCACAAAATCGCAGCTGAAGATTCCATCCTTAGCATGACGCACTACTTTCACGAAGCAGCCTCCTCCGGTCCGCCTCAGCCTGTGCGAGCTCGTGGGCTCTGAGAACCTGAAGAAGCACTCTTGCGTCTCCAACGTAGCCTGGGGTAGATGCAAAAAGCCCTCCCAGTAGCTACCAAGGTGCTGCGAGGAGGGTTTCAGGTAAGCTCTGGCTGGGACTAGGAATGCTCCACATGATTGAGGCGAACGCACGTGTTGAAGCAGGGCCAAATCTGCAGGAATGCTCAGGAAAGAAGCCACGCAGTGGCTTACTTTCAGCTGAGATGCAAAGAACGGAGTCAACTGCAGTATGTCTGCTCCTGGTTCGTAGCAGGCTTCCGCGTAGTTGCAAACGCAATGGCATGGACAGATCGTGCAGCGGACCAATGTTGCAACTCTTCATTGAATGGCTTCCTAGTGTTGATCTCGAGCAACAAGCTCTGTGATCTATGTTAAACATGAACACCTTGCCCCGACGTATCCCTCCCATAATTGGCAGGGTGTACGGTTCAGCAAACAAGATTTGCGAAGGCATGGGTCCCTGAACTCATTCACCCGCATCAAACAAAAACTCCTGCCTTGCAACTTCAAAACCGAGCCCTGCGTCCCTCCAAAGGCCAAAAGTCATCTCCTTCGGAAATACACGACACCTGTCACCCGCAGCAGAACCCTCGCAGTCCTTGCTTGTAGTTGGCAAAGGTGCAATCTCAGCAACGGGCTCCGCTTGTGCTGGCTGCAGATGTTTGATTCTAGATAAGGGGGGCTTGGCAGATACACTGAGACCTCAGCAGGGCGTTCAACAGCTCCAAAACTTCTTCCTTCCGTTAGACCTACCTGCTCGCTGTCCCAAGCTGCCTCCATTCAATCAAAAGGTGCAGCACAAAACTAAAGCCCATAGGCCCAACGAAGTATTGTGGTGATGCGAGCTGTCATTGCATTGGCGTCGTGACAAACCAGTCAAGCTGTCTCCCACGCAAATCTCACCTGCAAAATGAAAGGCTGATTTCAAACTTGACCTACCAGCGGATTCACTGGAGTCGTCAATCTAGTAAGTAGGCTCTTCATCCGCAGGAAGCACACCACATCAGGGCTTCACCTTCATTAAGCTTAACTAGCCCAATGAAAATAGATGCCTTAAGGTCCTGGCTCAGGATCTCTCGCTGCAGGAATCGCAAGGTGTCCCGCCTGAGAGCACAGTGCTTCCAAGGTGGCACGATGACGGGGTAGGTTTGGAGCACTATGGACTTAAACTTCTATTCTATGGCTTTGTGGACCGTTAAGGGCAATACAAAATAAATCAATGTTCAAACCTGCCGTGACAACCTTTTTCAAGTGCTTCCCTTAGTATTGGCAAGATGAGGGTCTCTCTGCATCCGACAGTACCGTGTCCAGCACGGGGATAGTGAGATGTGGCCTCCACCTTAAAACCCCAAACCCTAGCCCCAAGCTGGACAGAGTCCCTGGCCGGACATCCTTCTGTAAAGCTTTGGAAGCCATCAACAGTTTAGACCTCGTCTGAATGTCGCTAAAAACCCTCTAAACATCTGTAAGAAAGAACTTACTTTGACCGAACCCAGTAGTAAGTCTATGGCCTAAGGGTCCAACAAAGTACCCTGGCTGGGTCTCTTAGCTTCGAGCAGTGGGCTTGTGACCTGGCAGAGCTCGTCCAACAGGAGACACGCCTTTCAGCAGCAAAGATCAACTTTTGCGCTCCCTGCCCGTTTCCGTGGCTAGCTACTTTACGAACTCCATCCACAGCCTCGTTTTGACTCCGCATATCCTGGAACCACTTCGGTCCGGGGAGGGTGCGTTTCGGGTCCGCCGCTCGGGTCCGAGCGGGGTGCGTTTCAGCGCGTGCCCAGGTGCGTTTCGGGACGTGCTCCGGTGCGTTTCGGGTCCGGCAGCGATTTCCGCACGGCGCCTCCATGCGGAGAGTTCTCAGAATCCGATCTGCGCGGA